GATATTGATTGATTGATTGATTGATTGATTGATTGATTGATTGATTGATTGATTGATTGATTGATTGATTGATTGATTGATTGATTGATTGATTGATTGATTGATTGATATGTGAGGTTTTACGTCCCAAAACTATCATTTGATTAAGAGAGACGCCGTAGTGCAGGGCTCCAGAAAGTTCGACCACCTGGGGTTCTGTTACGTGCATCGAAATCTGAGCACGCGAGCCGACAACACTTTCGCCTCCATCGAAAACACTTAATGGGAGTACCCGAATGACCTCTGGTCTTCCCCAGCCACCTTGCAGATTACTTACACAGCAGGTAGTTAATGTTTTAGTATAGATGTCACCCCTCCAAATGTTTCTTAAAACACTATAGCAATAGAGACCTACGCTGGGCGGCCCGCGTACCTGGCATTTCTGATTTCTTCTTTCAGCCTCGTAAGACTTCTTGTAACTCTTCGCTGCAATAGCGGCAGGGAAGGCGCAGGCGCCGCTCCTTGCTCCAGTTGACGAGCGTCCATTGTTCTATTGAGGTACACTGCAGCACGACAAGGACCCAAAAAGAAATATTCGCTTTATTAATATATTTATTAATTTACAGATGTACCTCAGAGGTTCCACGAGGAACCATTGCGTGAGGGGGTAGTACATTTTCATTTGCGAAGAGCGATGAAAAAAAGTATACTTATACATATGCAAACTTTTGGCTTCGAAACGGACGAAAGAAACAGCAAACAATAACGTTATACAATTTGAAATGGTAAACAATATCTATTTAAGAGAAATGGGGAACAAATGCAGTAGTTAACACTATAAAGTGCTAACTACTCTACGTGCCTTAATAAACAGCAAAAATGTGGACAGACACACAGAGTTCTGCAACTGAAGGCCAACGCAACAAAATTTGCATGTTGGTGTACTTGATCTGGTACACCGCATCACGGAAGAACAGGCGTGTGAGCTGGCCAGACAAAAGGAGAGAGCTAAGTCTGTTTGTCTTGCTGCCTTGTCTTCTCGTCTGGCTAACTCAGCCGTTCCTTCTTTCTCGGTGGTGCATTGTAGCTGTTCAAGTATGACAAACCAACTCGTTCAATCTTCAGAGCTTGTCTTTCTTTTGGTGACCTTGGCAGAAGTTTGTACAGGTTAATATTTTCCCTTTAAGGGAACAGGGTAAGCCCTATACTCGCCTTGTACTTTAGGCCAATTAACTTTATGTACCTATGTACCTTTTTCTCCATAACCATAAAAATTACAGTAAATAATTTGCTATCATTGTGATCATTAGTTATTCCTCTTCGTACTGAATCAGAATTATCTCTGACACTTGTAATGCTAATTTTTTTTTATTTTTTTTACTTGAGGTGTCTAATCATCACCTGCTAATCGGTATTAGATTCTAGAGTCGGGTTGTACGAGAGGGACACGTCTTTTCAGTAACAACGGCTACTTTATTCTGACAACCAGAGAGTCAAAAACAGAGCAGCTGCACGCAGTGCACCGGAAGTGGCAAGAGTGAAAAAGACGAAGGAGAAACAGAGAGGAGAGCCGCACGTTGCTTTGAATGCTGCTCCGCAGGTTTTTATGACCGCGGGGTGCGTAGTGGCGGCCGCGTCGCTAAAAGATGTCGAGTTAAAAAAAGTACTTCATCACACTAGAATGATTCTGCCTCAGTATATTTTCCAGCACATTGTCTAAATACTAGCTGAAATTTGATTGATATGTGGGGTTTAACGTCCCAAAACCACTATATGATTATGAGAGACGCCGTAGTGGAGGGCTCCGGAAATTTAGACCACCTGGGGTTCTTTAACGTGCGCCCAAATACTAGCTGAAATTTATGTTTCTAGATACAGTGGTTGCTGAGAAAAAGGAATACATAATGGCAAAACAGCATGTTTTGAGATAATTGCGTTCAAAGTGGAAAATATGTTTTATTTAAAAGGTATCGCAAAATAAGCGCCAATTGATGGACATTTTCATTAGGCACCAGCCATATACTAAACACCAATATCTTTTCTTTTTTATTTTTGCGTTGATGTATCTGCCCTGGCGGGCCTCGTTTGTCGCCTGCTTCGCGGCCCTGTCAGCGAAGTACTGATGACTCAGGTCAAGTGTGCGTAGGCTCTGCAATGTGTAGCAACTTCGCGAAATTCTAAACAAGCTCAGCACATTCACATGAGCCCGATTGCCACCTTAAAGGAGATCATAGCGTCAAGACTGCATATTTTCAGAGTAGAATATCATCATTACTAGTCAGCGCCTCGATTAACTGCATTTTATCCCCTTGCAACCTCACGTACCTGCTCCCAGGGCTATCACCGATAGCGAGCTATACGTCTATCGATACGCTCTACTATCAGCGAAGAAATTCAACTCCAAGCTGCGTCGTGTGCTCTTCAGCTCCACACGGCACCTCCTGGTGGTATCCTGCGCACCATCGTGAGAAAGATCGTGAGGAAAGAGTTAGCATCTATGGCGTACCCGCAAGACCCGAGCCAGCACATATACAGACATTCAGAACATACAGGTATTCAAAATCGTTCTGCAGCAAAATTTCTATCCGCTTCTGCTCGACATACTTGGTTTTTACAACTGCCGGTAGACCTCCATGAAATCGAAACAAATTTTATGAAAACTAATCGTACATTTTAATCAGTAAGACATACTTATATGTGTGCCCAAACTCACAAGCTACATTTGGATTGGTGTGTGGGGAAGTATGCTGAAGCCTAATGAGATACAGCAATGGTGATAGCGGCCATTTTTTTCAGAAACGAAGCGTTATGGTCCATCAAGTACAAGCTCAATCAGGCGAGTGGCCACTCTCACTGTGCATGCGCGTCTCCTCCCCCTCGCTCCACTCCCCTACGCTCAAGCCCTCTCACGCTTCACAATGGCGGCCGCGTCGGCTATCGAGTTTCGTATTGAAAAAACCGACTGCTCGCGCTGCACAACTGTTCGCTGTCCCATGGCCGGACTACAGTGGTGGCACGCGCGCACTTCCTTACGGCCTGCGCACCCAAGGAGGGAACAATAGGGCAAATTCTTCACAGCTCGTAGCAGCGGTCGCCGAGTTGGGGCGTTTCCAACCAACGCTCCCTTAGATATCAAGGGAGCGTACGATAGCGTGGTTCAAGAGGACTTGTGGGGAATACTGGACACACTGGGTGTGGAAGATGGAGTCACTAATCTTTCAAAGGAAATCTATGAAAGTAACAAGGTAGTTATAAAGGTGGAAAAACAGGTATCCAAGCCCACAAAGGTGAAACGGGGACTTAGGAATGGGTGCCCACTGTCACCCTTGTTAATAATGATGTACCTACCAGGATTAGAGGCCAAATTAGAGGGAAGTGGACTTGGCTTCAACCTCTCTTTAGTCGAACAAGAAAAACTCATTGATCAGGCACTACCAGCATTAAAGTACGCAGATGATATAGTGCTAATGGCCGACAACAAGGATGATTTGCAGAGATTGATGGACATCTGCGGTAATGAGGGAGATAGGTTAGATTTTAGATTCAGTAAGGAAAAATCAGCGGTCATGATTTTTAATGATAACGAAGGTAGTGAGCTTAGAATACAGGAGGTCACGCTAGAGATAACAGATAAATACAAATATCTGGGCGTATGGATAAGCAATGGAACCGAGTACCTAAGGGAACACGAAATATACGTGACGACTAAAGGTAACAGGAATGCAGCAGTGATGAAAAATAGGGCACTGTGGAATTACAATAGGTATGATGTTGTGAGATGAATATGTAAAGGGGTCATGGTTCCTGGGCTGACGCTCGGCAATGCGGTCTTGTGCATGAGATCAGAAGTTCAAGCAAGATTAGAAATTCAGCAACGTGGAATAGGTAGGCTTACTTTAGGAGCTCACGGGAATAGACCAAATCAGGGAGTACAAGGTGATATAGGATGGACATGATTTGAGGGCAGGGAAGCTAGCAGCAAGATAAAACTTGAAAAGCAATTGAGAGAAATGGGGGAGGAGCGTTGGGCTAGTAAGGTTTTCGGCTACTTGTACATGAAGAATGTCGATACAAAATTGAGGAAGCGAACTGGGAAACTGACTGGTGAATACTTAGAAAACAGCAGGTGGCCAAACCAAAAAGAACTATTGGTTAAGAAGAAAGTGAAGGAAACGGAGACTGACATGGGGAGAGTTGGCATGATTAAGAAGTCTGCACTAGAGATCTATCGAACCTTTAAGCAGAAAATTGCCAAGGAAAGAATCTATGATAATACACGGCGTAGTTCTCTACTGTTTGAGGCCAGGACTGGAGTATTGTGAACCAAGACATATCGGGCCAAATACGAAGGGGTAGACACGGTATGCAGTACATGTGGAGAGGGTGAGGAAACTGCCGAACACTTGATAATGTTCTGTAAATGGCTTCACCCTATAGTTCAAGATGATGGCGCAGAGTTTTTCAAAGCCCTGGGGTTTAGGGACAGGGATCGCAAAATAGACTTTAAGCAGGTAGAATTAACTAGAAGAAGGATGTCTGATTGGTGGCTAAAGTCATTGCCATGAGTGAAAATTAAATCATTCACTTCAAAGTACCAGTCCTCAACTTCACTATTTGAACAAAAAAAAGATAAATCTAGTGGTTAGTTAACAAAGTATTACAGCTAGGTGGCGTTAGCCGCCACCCGATCTAAAGGGTAGAGCCACATCCATCCATCCATCCATCCCACTCTCGCAACCCCTTTTCTTTCTCAGTCGACGCCTCGCCTCTGGCCGAGTGAACCGACCACGCTAGCCCACTGATCTCCACTAGAGATCAGTGCGCTAGCCGCACGTGTTTTGGATCTGCCGGGGAATATCACCGATACCAAAGAATACATTCGCTGCTATATTTCACCAAGTAAGTATACTTGTTGTGCGCTTGAGTTGCATAATTTTCTCAATCGGTTTCTGATTGCGTCGTTATAATATTTTTAGGGTGCATCGGGTTAAACTGGTACATGTGGGCTGGCCGGCATCGAAATGGTGTACTGCTGCGTGCCCTCGTGCCACTCGCGCTCTGGGAAAAGCCCAGGTGCTTCATTTCACAAATTTCTAAGTGACGAAGATTTGTGCGCCAAATGGCAAAGGAACATTGCTAGGAAGGATTTAACTATCAACGATAGGTCGCCGTCAACGGTCGTGTGTAGCCAGCACTTCCTTCCGACTGACTACGCTACCGTGTGCCGCATAAAGAAACTTTTGCCTGGTGCTGTGCCCACAGTTTTCCAAGGCTATCCGGCGTACATGATGCCTCCTGCAAAAAGGCCTCGCAAGGAACCTGCTCCTCGGGCTGCTGTACCTCCTCTAAAACAAATCAAGCGGAAGGCCCAGCTGCTTGAATCGCTGCCTGTGGAAGAAAACGTGTCTGTCGAATGCCATGAAGACACCAAAAGCATGAGCACGCAAACCACGAACAACTATCACCAACGTGCAAGCCGGTACCTCTCCACTATTTCGAGGCTTCGCTTTCAAGTGTCATAGCACCGTTCCAAGGGTCAGAAGTTACTAGAAAAACTCGTCAAGGAAGAGCAGCGCAGTGCATTCTATCGCTAAAGCAAACATCTTGCTTCGGCGAGAAAAATTTAAGTGGACTCGCAGAATAGACACAAAAAGGCGCGGTGTTCCTGATTCACCAAGTTGAACGATACGGGAAGCAGCATCTGACGTATCCTGAAGAAGTAATTCGAGAATGTGTGATATGGAGATTTCTCTCGCCGAAGGAATACGAGCATGCTCGAACGTCAGGGCTCCTAAACTTACCTGCAAAATGCACCCTCCAAAAATGCATTGGCCCCAGCCCAACCTCATCAGGAATGAGCTCTGCAATGCGAACAAGACTGGTTTACGAAGCGTCACTTCTGAGTGGCAGGCAGCATATGGCATCAATAATTGTTGATGAAGCAATCATTAAGCCAAAATGCATCTATGACAGAAAAGGAGATGCCGTATTTGGTTTTAAGGACAGACCCGACAGCAGCGCGTCGAACACGCAGGGTATTTTGGCAAACAGGGTTTTGTGCTCCGTTCTGTGGGGCACAAACAGTCAATATAAGATATCTCGCTCATATTATTTCACCAAGCAACTGAGTGGAAAATACCTTTTCGAATGGGCAAAAGAAGTGATCGCCGCAGTCGAGTCATGTGGTTTCAACATCGTTCGTATTATAACCGACAACTACTCGGCAAACACCACGATGTTCAAACACATGAACAATGGCTCCTTGCACACACTTATCACGCACCCGCATGGCCCTGAGCGGGTAATCTTCCCTTAGCTTTGACCCGTGCCATGTGATCAAAAATATCCGAAGCCAGATCCTCGAAAGGCAGCTCACGGATGGCTGCGACGTTATAAGCGGTACCACGGCCGGACTACAGTGGCGGCACGCGCGCACTTCCTACTAGAGGGGCGAGGGAGTGCGCTCCTCTAGTCCGGCCGTGACCAGCCACCCCGTATAAACAGGCACTGGATCTTGACCTCCAAGGTAGTGCCGGTGGGAGATTTCTCCTGTGCGTTGTTGAACAACAAATATTAGCACCGTGCGCGTTAACTAAAAGCCGACTCTGGGTCTTCAATAGCAGTCTTCTCTCATTGCCCATTAGCAGCGATTGGCATGTTCCAGTCGGAAACACCAGGCCATTATATACTGCGGGTTTTGCGCCACCCCAGGTTTCTCTCTTGCGCGTAGTGAGCGCCAATGTCTCCGCCGCGCTATATAGTGCAAGCGTTAGCGGCCGCTGCTTCGCAACTCCACACAGTTCCCTCTAATGAAAGATGATGTAATTTTTTATTGAAATTGCACGAATTTTCCGCTTCGGGGCACACAAAGTGACATTATGTTTACACCACCCTCCCGTGTTTTACTACCATTACGAAAACTATACTAGGGGCGAAGCTCATTAGGGCGTGGGTCTGTCCTTCCTCCGTTGTCGTCGTACGTAGCCACCGGTGGCACATCCGCTCTAGAGCGTGCCACAAAGAATGCAAGTTGGGAGATGGCGGTACTTGGAGTGTACACGGGGTGTACGCACGGACGGACGCAAGGACGGACGGACGGATGGACGGACGGACATACAGACTAGCAGACGGATGGACGGACGTGCGGAGCAGGTATGTGCCGCAGGGGATGCAAGTGGTGGTACTTGGAGTGTTCACTAGATGGACGCATGGATGGACGGACAGACAGACTAGAAGACGGACGGGCATTTGGGCGGACGCATGGATGGACGCACGGACGGTCGCGCGGACGAACGGAAGCAACAACAAACGGACACACGGAAGCACAGACGGGCTGATGGACGCTTCGCCCCACTCATCATCATTCACTCCGTGGATATGCTGTGATCTTTTTGGTGAATTCACTGTCCTAGATTGTTGTCTTACAAAAATAACAAGACATATATAGCTAAGTTCTTAGTTAAAAGAAAGGCTGAATCGCAAATTTTAAAAAGTTGGTGAGCCTGTGCAGTTGAGCGAAACCTCCGGACAGACAATACAAGCACAGGCGAGGTTTTTGCAAAGACATTCTACAAAAAGAAAAGGCTGTGTAGGCAAGCATCCGTTTAGATTATATATGTTTCGGTGAAATATGCCTGAGCGAAAACCCAAAACTCGGATGAATGCTTCATTGGGTTGGTTTGGCAGCGTTTTCCTAAAGATGCTCATGTAAGCCCACGCAGTGTTTTCTTTGGACTGTAGGATTGACTATGCCAATTCACCTATGGATAGTAGCACCTGGAATTCTCGAGGCAGACTGAATCGATGCTGGCTACAACAGCACCGTATATTACCTCGACAGGCGCCGAACTCACTCGAAGAATGCCAGCCGCAATTCGACAGCTGACGAAATACAAGCTTAATAAAACGCTAGGAGCTGCTGAACGGGGCACTCGTGACCGCTGAGGAAGTTCCCAGATATGAGCCTGGCAGCGTTTAGCATCTCACAACCTTCCAATGAGCTTGCAAAACTTCTTGTTTCCTCAAACGTCTGTTTTAGTGTGTGTGTTTTTTTGTTGCGCCACAACTTTTTAATGATCCAATATTTTTAATAACAACTCTTGGGGTTTAGCGACCCAAAATCACCTTATGATTATGAGAGACACCGTTGAGAAGGGCTCTGGAAATTTCGACCACCTGGGGTTCTTTAAACGGTGCACCTAATCTAGGCACATTGTCGCCTCCATCGAAAATGCGGCTGCCGTGGCCGGGAGATCCAATCAATACGATATTTTCAATTAAACTTCCAATACTTCTTTATCAAATATTAGTCTATGCAATGAAGTATGATAATTGAAAATTACCAATGATTTTTGATGTCATCAGGCTTGAAGTGAAATGCAGCCATTTTAAATTGCGTACGTTTGGTTTTTTCTGTCATACTATGTTTAATGTTGACGAAAGTGCAAAGATTCTAGTTCGCTGCACTGCCTGAATGTACTGCCACATCGCTGCCTAACGATTTTCGTTTTTTGTCATAAGATCGGCAGTTATGAACATTAGCGGGATGGGCAAAGTTTGAGTAATTTCCGTAATTAGATTGTAATAAGATGTACTTTTCTTGCTTAACATGCTTGAGTTGAGTTTTTAAACAGCCCTTTTTAAGGTAAACACAAAGCCATCAGTGAAAGACCAAAATCTAACAACACTTCATAAAAGGTCGCAACATATGTCAAATCAGTCGACGCTGCACAAGAGTGACGGGGCAGTACGTGCACGCTTCGATAGGCCCGACGGCCGCTGGAACACATGTCACACTTACGCATATGAACGCCATGTCCGTGATACGTAACTTAATTGTTCGCACTGTTGTAATAATAACCTTAGCGCTCGCGGCTCCACGAGAAATCCCCCAAAACGGCACAACGAACACGCATGCAAGATTCACATGAATTCACACGAACCAAGCAAAATAATAATAATAATAATAATAATAATAATAATAATAATAATAATAATAATAATAATAATAATAATAATAATAATAATAATAATAATAATAATAATAATAAAGCCACTGCCAGGCGTCGCCGCTAGCCCCGCCACGGTGGTCTAGTGGCTAAGGTACTCGGCTGCTGACCCGCAGGTCACGGGATCAAATCCCGGCTGTCGCGGCTGCATTTCCGATGGAGGCGGAAATATTGTAGGCCCGTGTACTCAGATTTGGGTGCACGTTAAAGAACCCCAGGTGGTCAAAATTTCCGGAGCCCTCCACTACGGCGTCTCTCATAATCAAATAGTGGTTTTGGGACGTTAAACCCCACACATCAATCAATCAGGCATCGCCGCTAGGCCTCAGCGCCTGAGGTGTGGCATAGGAGCTCACTGAACACGTCAGAATACCGTCGATGTCACATGGCCGGAACGTGCCCTTCAGCCTTTGTACGCTCTTGGCGCTCAAAATAGAATAACCTCTACGTAACGGACGCCATTCTTACTACACTAAAAAAAAAAACTCATGTATACCAAGCAATCGAATGAAGTTTGTTGTCACTGTTCAATTAAGTTCTCTTCCGGCTATATGAATTTATATGCTTACTGATCGCAATATGACATGATACTTCCTTTCAGCACGTCTTTATATACACCTTCGGAACGAAATGTTTTAAATTTAGCATCTATAATAATCCTGTCACGTCATTAGCGTCACTGATCGACCTAACGATATGGTAGGCGCAAAAATCGATATTTTTTTTTTTTTAGTCCTTGTGAAAACGGTTGTTCAGAAGTTAACGATCCATAGGATTCCGACAATATATGTGGAAATGACTGTTGAGAAACGTAAGCGGGCATTGTCCGCGTGGAGCAATTCCCTCTCTCCATCGCCATATAATTTCAGAAGCTAAAACTTTATTCAAGAGAAAAAAATAATAATTTTATCTTCATCTTCTAGGTCTTTCACTTCTTTTTGAGGCTCAAAAAAAGTTTACACGGCGTGATTTACTGGTATTTAGTATAGATGTGGTTATTCGATTTTGCTGGAGGAACCAGTGTTGGAGAAGTACCAACAATAAAATAAACTTTTCTAAAAAAGTATAAGAGAAGCCGCAACCGAGTTATCTTTTTTAGCCTCATCATTTCCCGCGTTAAAACAAAACCTTTATTAATTATATCTGAAGACAATTCAGTTCTCCCGCCTGAAATTTTTATAGTTCTAACTGCCCCACCAAACTGGTATAAAAAAGTGTAAGCTATTGGAGAATGAAGCATCTCTCTTGTAAACTCTTTATAGAATAATTTTGCTCAATTTCTCGATGAATTTCATTGCTAAAACAGGGCTGGCTTTACAAAAAGGTGGCAGAAGAGTGCATGTAAAATATATCTCTCAAACTGTCGGTGCTTTTCATGGTTCTACTGTGATGCTGCTAAAATTACTGAGCGACTTCGCTGAGGTCGAATGCCTGTCTTCTACGTGAGGGGTGCGGCTGCCCTTTTCTCTAGAACTCCGTTTTTCTTTCGATTTTAGGGGGGGGGGGGAATGCAG